CTCTTGAGATATTCTTTAGGATGGCCGTTCTTTGGGATGCATTTTTTTTACTGGTCCCAATCTTAGGGATGCAGCGGCAGGACAGCAAGGCGTCGCGTGGTAGCACCTACAGACTAGCTGCAGTCATGACAATTAGCTACACAGCCGCGCGCGCGTTTTACGGCGGCGCGGCAATCTTCATGTTGTAACTGGCGATGAGACATGCACGGCGAAAGGAGTTCGCCTCTGGATGAGGACGCAGGCTACCAAAGAGTGTGATGCTCAGATACACTGACGCGCAATTTCGTCGCACGCGATGGAGACGCGTTCTGCAACTGTACAGTCATCATCCGTGCGAAGTAAGGGGCGTGAAATCGGAAAGCAGCCAGGGCGGATTTTCCACCAATTGACACCTTTCCGACTACCCCCCCCCCCGGTGGAAAGGCTGCTTGGCTGCGCTCCAATCCACGCTCCTTCTAGCAGGAATACTGACCATATGTCCTCCTATGAGACACCCCAATTTTCTGAAAATTTCTTAAAGTGCAGGTACCTCTGTAAAGTCCATTTAGTCCCATTCCGTCTGTCTTTATGATATCGCGAGCCATGGCTGCAGTTGATTTCTGCTGGAAAGGAACAGCATTTTTCTCTCTAGTCAAATTAATTTTGATATTCAAGCACCTGCATCAGTGATACTCCTCGTTCTGCTTGCAGTCTTACTTTGACAACTTCAAATGGACATATGACGACCGCCTCTGTAAAACCACAGAACAATCCCGCCATTGACAATGACTGAAAGCGAGAACAGTATTGAAATCTGAATGGGCTCCTCTGCCTAAGCCCATGAGACATGCTGCAACTTGACAATTGGCCTCTGAGTTCAACAATGCTAATAAGGTAATCTGAAAGTGTAAAACAACGAAAATAAAGCAAAGAATTACGATTGCCGGTGAAACGTCAGGATGACTGAATATCTTCTTATACTGCTCAAAGGTGAAGAACTTTGTGGCACGTTTCGGTGTCTCGGCAAGTATCGGTGGCAGGATCCCCTGAAAAAAAATTTGACCGTGAAAGTGATCAACAACTTTATCCGGGTTATAGCTCTCCCTCTGAACCGTGCTTCACAATTGTTCAGTAGAAAGTAGAGGAGAGAAAAAGCTCGAAGGGAAAAGTTTTCAATCAGTCTTCTTTCCGGATGCGCCATGCATTTCAACTCCGTTCAGAACTAGTGTGGTTGTTGAGTACGATTTGGCCTTCTGAATGGCTTTCGAAAGCCACCCGGCCCGTTTATAGTTTACAGGATTTGTAGGAGATGGATGACTTGGTAGGCCCTCGTATTAATTATGGGTAGCTGAATGAAATCATCGCTAACCTTGTAAAATCCCAGAAACCCCTCATTTTTGAAGGTTTTTCGAACGCAATCCATCATCCCTCTGTCATGTTGAGCGACTTGTAATCGTGTCTTGATTAGATCTAATGGATGCATCAGACATACTTCGACTAGTCCTGTAAAATCCAAAAGTAGTAACATAGCGACAGCTTCTAACGTTGAGTCAGACTGCAGTAGTAATTACCCGGCATAGATAGTCTCGTTTGTTGTGGATGCTGCGGCGTGCCAGGGGGGGGGGTTGAATTTGACCCGGCGCCAGCCCTTTCTTCTCCAACTGTTGAAGCGCGGAAAACGTGCCGGCGCCGGGCCAAACCCAGTCCCTGCAACGCCTCAGCATCTGTAGCGAGCAGGACTGTACAGCTGCTCCCACAGTATGGATGCTCAGCCAGTGCAGGGTGATTGAGGCGAGCAAGAATACACGTCAAAATTCAGACCTGCTGAGCCTCCGGCTACAAACTGTCGAGCTCCATCCTTGATCGCGTCTGTTGCCATAGTTCTGCAAAAGATTACAATTGCATCCGTAAAGAGAGCGTACCAGTATCCAGTGTGCATAATCGTTGTGAAGTTCTCAGCAAAGGAGTAAAGGCCACATTAAAGTGGTTCTGGAGGGGTAGCGGCGCAGTTTGACTCAAACGAGCGCTATCAGTACAAGGCCATTTCGGAGAATCTGTGAATCCTTCTGAAGCAACGCACTGGTACATTTCCAAGCCATTTTTCTTTGTTTTTTCTCATGCTGGACGGTATTCAGAGCGGGAAAGTAAGAAGAAACGATTGTGAGCCTGGGACGATGACTTGGGTTTCCAGAAAGGGGGAACATGCTCGGAAACCGGCGAATCGATTTGTACAAAAAAAGTAAGTAAAAAGTTCCAAAAGTCACAGAAGTATACACAAGTGACCCTGTCTCTCCCCAGCCCCCCCCCTCCCCCCTCCCTGAAGAAGAGGAGGCATTTTCTATTGTTTCGGAGGTGCTACAGTACATTATCCCCTACACTACTCGACGAGTCTTTCCACTCCGAAATGGGAGGTGTGAGGAGGCAAACCTGGGCATTTTCTTTCATATCTTATTGAACGTAGAGAAGCAATAAGGTTCCGCCGAACGACCGATTTGTTGCATTACTAGGATTTGCCTTAACTAGTACAGAAGGCTGTGTAGTAAAAGCCTCAGTGCTCTCATTCAAATCATTTTTTTCACCACTGTGGGAACCTTGGAAAATAATGGAAAATTTGTGACGAACAAGCTATGCTAACTCTGCACGGGTTTCTACCATAAGGTGGGGTAACATCAATGTATACAGGGATAAAAGGATACAAGAAATAGAAGAAATTAAGTTAACGTCAGAAGTAGTCATAAAAACAACAACCATGCATAAAAGAATATCAAAAGGGAAAAACTACAAGAAGCCACGTCAGCGATTGATATGGAGGTGATCAATAGTGGTGATCGAACATGGAACAATTTCAGTGTCCTTGGTTGATAAGCAAACGTAAGAAGGCCGCTGTAGAAATCGCCATGTCTGCGACCACTAATTCCACGCATAAATTACTATTCGATATGTGTACGAAGTTATTAACTGATTCAAAACATATTTTCTAAAATACAAGACGATGACGAAAGCTGATCTCCACAGTGGCAGGGGAGACCGTGACAGAAGGGTGGTCGCAGACA